GGCTCGAACGCTTCCCTCTAAATCCGATTTTTATTTTTCAAAGTTTGCCGTTGTGCCGTGAAGCCCTGCCCTGCCCGGGGATGCCAGGCAGACGATGCTGCGGCTGGACAGATGTCAGGCCAGCCCCTCCGCAAAGGCACCCGTGCGCAGTCACTACATTAATTTATTTAGAAACAAAATTTCAGCTTGGCAAACTTGCACCGTTTCCCCCCCCCCTCCCCCGGACACCGAGAAACTGCACTCGCGCGGGTCCCTTTTTCATGCTGTACAACTGGTGTTTTTTTCAGTTAAAAAAAAACAAAATCCAATCAAATCAAAAAAATACAGAAGAATAAATTTTAAAAAAAATTATATATATATATATATATCTCCCTCTCCTCCAGGATCCCAACTCACCTAATCCAAACGTCAAGTTCGCCAGGACAGTTTTATTTTCTGGATCAAACCGGTCCAGACAAACATCCACTTTTGAGTGGTTTTCGCTTCTTTGTAATTATTATTTAGCATCCTAGGATTTTATTCTTGCCTTTTTTTAATATTTGCATTGCTCTGTTACCTTGGCATCCCAACGGCTCCTGCTTCCAGCCAGACACCGAGACGAATCCATTTCCCCCGCCCAAAAAAAGGGATTTCAAATCCTCCGGGCGGGGGTGGGGGGAGGAAAAAAAAGAGAGGGAATCTTTTTAGCGCCGGATCCAATTCTGCTTTTTTTAAGAGGGAAAAAAACAAACCCCCCCTCCCCCCCTTGAAGCAGCGCAGGTCACAGCAACCAGACTGCACAAACTTTGGAGAAATAAAGAAAACTGGGGGGGAAAGGAGGGGTTTGGGACCCCCCCCCAGGCTGGCAGGGCAGCACGCAGCAGGTTTCTGCCCTTCTCCCCGCCTGGGTGCGGCTTGCACCGCGGAGGGGGGGGGGTGTTTTCCACATTTCCCTCCGGTTTTATCATGATTTTTTTTTTTTGCAATTTTTAATTTTTTTTTTTTGCAATTTCGTTTGGGGAGATTGTGTTTATTTATTTATTTATTTTTGCAATGCTTTTTTTTAATTTTTGGCTTTTTTGGCATTTTGGAGCCTTTGGGAGGGGGGGGTCGTTTCCATGCCAAAAAAACAACCCCCCCCCGGCAGGCGTGCCCCCCGCGCTGCGCGGCCCTAGGGCTGCTGGGAGCGCGGCCCCGCCCGCCGGGGCGGTGCGCGGCCGGCCGGGGGCGGGGTGCACGGGGCAGGGCATTTGCAAAGTGGCCGTGCACGGGGGCAGTGCACTTGCATGGGCGCGGTGTACAGGGGGGGGGTGAGGTGTTTGCAATGGGGTGGTGCATGGGTGCATTGCATAGGGCAGGGGCGGGCCATTATTTTGGGCAGAAGACCACTTCCTGAGTTTTGGCAAGCCAGCCAGGGCTGCATGATAGGCAGCCAGGGGCAGATCAGTATTAATTGTCTACCTTTTTTTTTTTTTAGGGGCCCGCAGGCTGCATTTTGCCCACCCCTGGCATAGGGTGTGTGTAAGGGGCAGTGCAGGGGTGCGTTGCACGGGGTGTTTGCGTGGGGCAAGGTATTTGCAAAGTGGTCGTGCATGGGTGTGTTGCAAAGGGCAGTGTATTTGCATGGGTGTGTTACATTGCTCCGTGTGCCACCCTTTGTATTTGCATGGGACAGTGCAGGGCACTGCATTTGCAAAGGGGCAGTGTATCCGTGCAGTGCATGGGGGCATGCTCGACCCGCTCCCCCGTGCCCAGGGCCGTGACTGTCTGTGCCAGCACCTTGGTGGTCCCAGGCGGGTGTCATGTCCCAACCCCCCGCTAATTCCTCAGCCTAGACGCCCCGCGGTGGGATCCCCTTGCCCAGTTGGCACCACCTGTTAATCCCATACAAGGTGCCGCCCGATGGCTGCTGCCCGGGACAGCCGCTCGTCACTGGGTTTCGGCTGCGCGCTCCAGAAAAGAAAAACACAGCATCTTACCATTCATAAATCACCAGAGTCAGCCAGGTTTGACCCCCCCCAGCACCAAGGTTGGACACATCAAACATTTTCATTTTGGAAGCAGTCTCTGGACAGAGCAGGCAGCAGAGCCCGTGGTACTTGGGTAGCATCAAGGTTTGTCTTGGTCAGGATTTCCTTCTCATCCCAGTCCTGTGCACAAACGCGGCCCTTGTGTCCAGGCTACTGGGTTTTTGTAGGGACTGGGAAAAATTCCTGTGTGTGCTCTATATATATTTAAAAAAAAGAAAAAGAAGCAACTTTTATGGCATGTAACTGCAGTCTAAGCACGTCCGCGCTGAAGAGCAAGGAAATGCCAAGTTTTAGGACAACTCAACCACCCCGGAGCTCAGTCGCATTACCCTGCAGCACCTTTATTTCAGCCCCGGCCGCACGCCCGCACACCGGGATGGGGACCTGGCAAGCATCAGTGATAAAACGGTTGTGTGGCTCTGCCACATTCGTGATGTGTAGAGGGGGAAATGAAGCCAGGAGCATCGATGGCTAAATGCACCAAGTTAAGGGGAAGCACGTGAGTGTGATGCAAGTTTCCGTCTTGGAGGGTGACGGCGATGGACGTACGTGTGCAACGTGTTTCCGTATCTCTTGGAGACACCCGGCAGCCCCTTGTGAAGGCGGAGAGCCCGTAGCTGTCTATGAAATCATGCTGTGAGAGTATTAAGATATTAGTTAAGATGGGGCTTAGCTGGAGACCTGCAAGGTGGATCAGGGCCTGGCTGCAGAGGTAGCACGGGGTGATGCTTAAAGAGGACGTGCCAGGCTAGAGAGAGGTTTCTGGCACCGTTTCTCCTCTAGAAACTCCTCTCGTGCCATATTTTCTTTGGCAGACACAGAACATATCCATGACATTTCCTGATGACGTAACGCTGGGGGATCCTCAGTACAGAAGAATTGCATGGGCCTGAAGAATAACTTAATAGACCTGGGCTGAAGCTTGATAGTCCAGCGGGCAAAGTCCTGCCCTTAGGGACTAAAGGAGAATTTTTTGCTGTAAAGAGTTTCCCCCTGTCTTGTGATGCACACCTGGGTGTCATGGGAAGAGCAGCCAGGTGAGGGTGTTTTTGAAGCTGGGCCCTGTCCTGGAGGGGCTGTTGCAAGGGGAAGAAGATGAGGCTTGCAGCTAGAAGCCTGGATGCTGATCTCAGCACGGGTCAAGTCCTTGAAGTCTCCCCCCTGACTTTGGGGGTCCCCGCCCGGGGCTGCCGCGGTCTCTGCTCCCATATCGAGGTGCTGGCGTGCACTCGCAGGTGAGCGGTGGGACTCGTCTCGTTCTGCAAAAACCACAGACGGGCAAAACACGATTCTTCTGCAGCCGACCAAAACTGATAACAGCAGTGAAAATGGAAAAAAGCCTTACCACTAGAAAGTACTGCAGCCCTGTGCTTTTTCCACTCTCGATCTGAGTAATGAGCTGATGACTGCTGCTTTTGATTTAGAAGTCTTTTCCTCTCCCCCCCCACCTCCTTTTTTTGAAAGAAATGCAATCACTACCAAGAACTCTGGTGGGACTTCTTCTTTAAACAAATACTGTTTTTCTGGTTGGGTGTGCTCTATTATTTTCTTAATTATTCCTGGATTTCAGCCTGCTCCACCAAGAGTTTTCTCAGATGGCAGAAACAATTGGTCCCTTATTTATTTTTTTGTTTGTTTTTAGGAAGTGAAGAGCAAAAAATATCCCTAATAAAAAGGCTCCGTACGTCCCATAAACTACAACAGGACATGGTTTGCCAACAGTCACACCTCTTCATTCAGCTGCCTTAAATGCCCCTTTTTTTTCCCCCCCCCGCGTTGCTACTATTGTTTACTACGAGGAGTCCTCGTCCTCGTCCTCGTCCTCGTCCTCGTCCTCCCTGGCTGCCAGCTCTGCCGTGTCGGTGCAAAAGAGATCGGTGACCGCTCGCTCCCGCAGCGTCCAGGTCACCGCTGGCCTCTGCGGGCATGGAGTAAATGGGCGAGGAGACTTCACTGCCCTCTTGCACCCTTTTGTGAGTGGCCGATCATTTATTTTGGGTGGGCAAAGCCACCCAAAATAAATTATCTTCGCTGCCTGGTCTATACCTGTTCTGGGGAGGAAGGGAGGCTTTCGGCTGAGCGGGTGACCGGTCCGGCACCCTTTGTAACAGCCAAAATGAAAGCAGACAATGGGAAGACACGCCAGCATCAGTGAACCGGTGTGCTGCGGGGGGGAAGCTCGCCGCACCATCTATCTCAGGGCCTGGAAAGCTGCAATGTGGACCGCGAAAGGCACTGGCTTAACATCAGCACAAGTGTCTGCCAAGATCAGATTATGTCACTGCTTTATGGTCTTGCTTTGGTCTCCCGGGGAGAAAGGACTCGACGTGCCGGATCTGCAGCGAGGGGAAGGCAGGGACGTGGTAGCAGGTGGGAGAGGGGGCTCGAGGCGGTGTTTGTCGGGGATGCTCCGTGCGCGCCGGCCTAGGGCAGGGATCTGTGCCGAGCTGGAAAGGCAGGTCCAAAATACCAAGCAACGCTGCTCAGCTCTCCCCACGCCCGCCACCTCCTGCTAACACACCTGCTTGGGCTTCGGGTCGCGGCTCTGGGACCGATGGCTCTGGTTCCACGGTTGGACCTCACGGTTTCTCTGCATCCGTAGAAATTGAAAAGAGGCTGCAAGACCGGCTGGTTTTTCCTACCCCAGACATGGAGTTAGGGGTACCACACGCGGGACCCTTCCTGGGCCGACGCTGCCTGCAGTCCAGGGCACGCTTCCCCTGGCGGCAGAAACATGCTGGCCTGTGGGACGGGGCAGCCAGGTGGGTGTTGAAAGGGGAGAAACCAGCAGGGAGGACCTGTCTG